TGCGCTGCTGGCTGGGCTCCAGATGTGAACCCCCATCAGTGCTGCATTAGTTCCCTGACGGTCCAGGATAAAACGCTGATGATGGCGGCGTTGCTCAGTCACCAGGCACAAATGGATGCAGCCGGCGGGAAGGAAACCGCCACAGAGAGTACTCTGCAGAACGCCATTAATGGGTCACAATGAAAGGCTGATTTTCAGGCTTTCTTCTCATGATGTAAGGAGGGAGCCGAATAACTCACCTCCAGATCTCCGGATTCCTGATGTGGAGGGATGAAAATCTGACCCTGCAGCTCAGAGAGCCGCTAAAAATACCCTGCAGACTCCCACAGTGGAGCTCACAATGAGATGCTTCATATTTCCTCCCGTGTTGCTCGGCTCTATTTGCAGCCTGCTGCCCCTCCCCGCTTGTTGCTGAACAACATGACACGTTGGATCAGCTTTCAGGCTGCTGGCCTGATACAGAGACCAGATTTCAGATAGCACAGAGTGTGTGTGTGTGTGTGTGTGTTGTGTGTGTGTGTGTGTGTGTGTGTGTGTGTGTGTGTGTGTGTGTGTGTGGTGTGTGTGTGTGTGTGTGTGTGTGTGTGTGTGTGAGTGTGTGTGTGTGTGTGTGTGTGTGTGTGTGTGTGTGTGTGTGTGTGTGTGTGTGTGTGTGTGTGTGTGTGTGTGTGAGGGAATGCTGTGAGGTGGATCAGCATCACTGGCCTTCCTCTACACAGATTGTAGTTGCTAAGGGAACAGTTGCTAGGATGGCGGTCACCGCTCTTTCTCCTCCTTCGTTCCTCCCTCTCTTTCCTCCCTCTCTTTCCTCCCTCTCTTTCCTCCCTCTCTTTCCTCCCTCTCTTTCCTCCCTCTCTTTCCTCCGTCTCTTTCCTCCCTCTCTTTCCTCCGTCTCTTTCCTCCGTCTCTTTTCTCTCTCTCTTTCCTCCCTCTCTTTCCTCCGTCTCTTTCCTCCGTCTCTTTTCTCCCTCTCTTTCCTCCCTCTCTTTCCTCCCTCTCTTTCCTCCGTCTCTTTCCTCCGTCTCTTTCCTCCGTCTCTTTCCTCCGTCTCTTTTCTCCGTCTCTTTTCTCCCTCTCTTTCCTCCGTCTCTTTCCTCCGTCTCTTTTCTCCGTCTCTTTTCTCCGTCTCTTTTCTCCCTCTCTTTCCTCCGTCTCTTTCCTCCGTCTCTTTCCTCCGTCTCTTTTCTCCCTCTCTTTCCTCCGTCTCTTTCCTCCCTCTCTTTCCTCCCTCTCTTTCCTCCGTCTCTTTCCTCCGTCTCTTTCCTCCCTCTCTTTTCTCCCTCTCTTTCCTCCGTCTCTTTCCTCCGTCTCTCTTTCCTCCCTCTCTTTTCTCCGTCTCTTTCCTCCGTCTCTTTTCTCCGTCTCTTTCCTCCGTCTCTTTTTTCTCCGTCTCTTTTCTCCCTCTCTTTTCTCCCTCTCTTTCCTCCGTCTCTTTCCTCCCTCTCTTTCCTCCCTCTCTTTCCTCCCTCTCTTTCCTCCGTCTCTTTCCTCCCTCTCTTTCCTCCGTCTCTTTCCTCCCTCTCTTTTCTCCGTCTCTTTCTCCGTCTCTTTCCTCCGTCTCTTTCCTCCGTCTCTTTTCTCACGTGTCTGTTCGCTGTGATCCTGATATAAGATGAATGAGGCGCCTTGCATCAGTCGCCCCAAAGGTTACGGTTGCTTAACCTTTGGTTCGGACGCCTCCAGAACCAGATGCACCATTTTTCCATTTTGCGTGTGCGATCCAGAAGTTAGCATGTTAGCAGGAAGTGAACTGAGAGGACTCAGAGAAAGGATGAGAGGCGCGGCAGCGTAAAGCTGAGTCAGAGCTAACGGGGCTCCCTGAGCTGCTCTGGAGAAGCTGCTGCTTCATCACCTCATGAGGATTCCTCATAAACACAGCTGCTGCTGCAGCAGCGGAGGCTGCAGCACCACAGCTGCTGCTCACACACATCGCATGAACACACAGCCATGTTTACATCTTCCAGTGAGGCACACAAACCCATGATTACGGTTTTATCTGCTCTGTCGCTGATGATAAAAAGACTTAAAGGATTTGTTAGCAAGCAAAGATTTAAACTGAAGCTTTTGAGGATGCAAACATCCCAAAGACTCCTGAATTACAGATTACACTCTGTTGGAAGCTAATTATCAGCATTTTACAGATGCATCTCAATAAATGAAAATAAAAAATGTATTTACCTCAGTGATTTATTGGAAAAAGTCAAACTCAAAGTATAAAGATCGATTACATTCAGGGCAACAAAATTAAAATGTGGTCCTTAAGTAAATCAGGGGAAAATCTCAGATTAAAATATGTCCATGTTTGGATTCACTCCTTCTGCATGACTTACTGCAGTAATGCAGCGTGTCATGGAGGCCGACGTTGCTTCAGGTGAATAGGAATTGCTTCACGTTCCTTTCAAAGCTGCAACTTTTGCAACAATTTCCTCCTTCCACTCAACTTTCTGTTAATGTGCCTGTATGAAGTAGTTTGTGAACAGCCAGCTTGTTAATGGCTTACCGTCCTTACAGAACGTTTGTGATATCTGATGTTGAGACAGAACTGTGATCAGTTTGAAATAATCTGACATTCTGCATTAAAAGTCCATTTTTGTTCATGTCATCTCATAACTTCCTGTTTCATTAAGCGTTTAATAAGTCATAATGATCACAAGTCACTGTTAGAATTCCTGAAAACGTCTCAGTTTTACAATCGGTTTGCTAAAATAAATGAACGTTTTAAAGATTTTCTAATTTTGTTAGTAATTTTGCTCCATAACTTCCGATGGGAAGGAAGTGGATTTTAAATGGAGCCTTGGTCAGAGCCTTGGGGAACTCCAGATGTGATAGAAATGGTTTTAACTGGTGAGGATTTGAATTATAGAAGTAATAAAAAATGTTTTAAACTATTTTCAACCCTTTTTATTGTAGGATTTTCAGATTGTAGTGTCCTAGTTAAAGGCTGTAATGTAAACAAACTGATCCGCAGCTTTATTCTCAGTCATCTGCTCAGACAGGAAGACAGAGACACTTTTTAAGAAGTCGGTAAATGACTGTGCTGTCACCCACCCACTCCCACTCCGCTTATCTCTCCGCCGAGTCTGTTGCTGTGGTTTCTCATTGCGGAGCTCTCCTCCGCCGCCGCTCCACGCCGCGTCTCCTCCGCCGTCCTCCCTCCCTCCCTGCCCGCCTTCCCGTCGAGCCGCAGCCTTCCTCCCCGCCTCACCATGAGCCGCTGAGCCGCCTTCAACCTCCAGACTCATGTCGCGTCTCCTCGAAGGCGCCGCACTGCCGCACCGCCGCTCGGCTCCTCCGCAGCAGCGGCAGGAGCGGCAGCGGTAACCGCGCGGCAGATTCCGCTCCAGACGCAGCGGCTGCAGCCGTCACCGTCGTTTCCTCTTCACTTTATTTTCTTTTGGGATTATTTTTATCTTGGCTCGTCTTTTCTCCCGGACATGCTGTCGCCGGGCTGCCGGGGCCGCGGCCGCTCGGGCTGCTAGAGCCAGAGGAGGAGGAGGCGGTGGTGGTGTGGGGCGGGGGGCCCGGCCCTGCCCTGCCCCGGCCCGGCCTGGCCCGGCCCGGCCCTGCCCCGGCCGGACTAGCGCTCCTCCAGCAGCATGAACCTCCACTCGGGCAGGGCGTCCGTGGCCATGCTGCGGATGATGGCTGTGCTAACGGGCGCTCTGCGCGGCATCTGCTCCACAGTGACTGCGTGGTGGATGAGAAGACGGTGGTGCTCCAGAAGAGAGATGAGGGCTTCGGCTTCGTCCTGCGCGGGCCAAAGGTAGGAGATTCACTCCTTTATGGCTGCTTTTGTCAAGGATTCCTCTGCATGTCTGTTGGTGGCAGATTTAGTGAAATGCCAAATTCTGTTTATTCCGACTAATAACTTGCGGGCACAGCTGCTGTGTGCGTTGAAATCCAGATTATGACCCTAATTCTGTGCATGTCTGGCTGTTTGTGCATTAGAAGAGAAAAGCCTGAATGCGGCGCTGCACGTCAGCTGGACGTTTTCTGACATTAGAGCTTGTTAAACTCTGGACTCTGACATCCAGCTGCAGCAGCTGCAGCAGGTGCTGCAGCAGCATCTCTCCTGCCCTCCATGCATCTGCATGTTTGTCTGTTTCACCACAGAACGCATTCCAGAAAAAGCGCCATAAGCCTTTTTCAGTTTGTGTCCGTAAATAACTTTTGCAGCGCCGTGAATGCGCCCCGCAGAATGCGTGGCCGTGCGGTCAGGGCTGCACTTCTAAACAATTTCACCCGACAGTTACAACTTCCAGTGTTAACGACCAGCTTTAAAAGCTCATCAGGCAGTTTCACGGCCGGAAGCCGCGATGAATCGATTATTGAAATAATCGTAATCGGTTAGTCGTTAACCAAAGAGACCAACCCAATAAAGCTGCACAAAAAATACATGAACATTTTCATTGAAAACAAAAAACTCATTTATCTTTAAATCTGTTCGAAACAAAAAGTTTTATTTTCACCTGCTTTAAATTCTGCCAGTAAATCTGTTCAATTTTGAACTGGACCGGAAATGAATGAACTGTTCTGTTAATCCACAGATTAGACCAATCTGATGTTCAAATGATTTCATGTTTTCTTTTACCTGCAGAAATGATAAAAGTCACTGCAAGTTATGACAGTTGTTATGAATTACCTGAATGCATAATTAATGCTGTTATTGTTATGTTTGTTTTCTTATCTTAAAATAATTTATTTGTATGTTTTCAATTTATTTCTAACACATACTTGAGAGAGTGAATGAAAATATGCAAATGTTCCACGTTTTAAATCTGATTTATTGTCATAATAATCGATAGTGATTGATTACTGAAATAATGATCAGCTGTAATTTATGTCCCTTCATCTACATTCAACCTGAATAAAGTTCTGATCCAAATCACAAACTAATGCTTGCTAACCCAGTTAATCTTTAGTGCTTCTCATCATCTTCCGGTTAAATCAATCTTGGAACAATTGGAGCACAAGAAGGCGTCGCATGCGATGCTGCAGCAGCATCTCATGCTCGGCTGCCACGTTTCAGCTGCCATGCTTTCAAACTGCTGCTGCTCAGTCCAATGTTTACTCGTTAAACTGACTTTCTCTGTCTTTTTTGCATGCGGATGGTTTGATCTTGACCAACTTGCTGAAGTATCAGATTAACTACTTTTCAGTTTCCCTGTTTTTGTGAAGCTTTGCAGCATTATGTGCCACTGACTCTTCAGAGCAGCCAAACTAGGAATGCATGATATTATCGACATCAGCCGATGTTAGGAATTTGTATCTGTGTCAGTCTGCTAATTTAAACTGGGCTGGTATTAACAACATGAACAAGTCGTTTTATATCTGTAAAAACAGATTTTTCAGTAAAAATCTGTTTTATGTTGAAAGGGGGCGTGGTCGTGTGGTATTCGTTTGGTCATGTGACCATGTGATTGGTGGGTTTTTGACTAAAGTCAGGAAGCAATGTCAGGTCGGTTGGGAAATATAGACAATATATCAGATACCAGATTTTCAGATGGGTGGGTTCCTGAACCAGAACCACCATCCATGTCGAGGTGAAGCAGCACTCCATGACATCAGCACAGAGGAGGCCTGCTGGCATGCAGCTCCTCCGGACACGTTTGACACGTCCCTGTTTACCGTCCTCTCAGCCCCCCCTCACAGCTCCTCAGTGCTTGTTGTGATACGAGAGGCAGATCCAGGCGGGTTGAGGCTCCAGCAGGCAGTGAGACGGGCTCTAAAAATAGCTGGTTGGAGCTGCTGCTGCTGCTGCTGCTGCTGCTGCTGCAGTTTCTACGACGTTCTTGCCGTGTCATGATCTGTGTTGCGTTTCAGTACCGTGCGGCATCGGTGGATTGGTCGCCGCCTCTTCGATTCTGTGTTTTGTTGTTGCAGATGTTTGTGTTTTCTGGCTGAGGTGAGGAGGGATTTGCTCAGTAAAACCAGAGGAATGTTCCAGTCCATGTGACACACACTGACTCCCACCCTGGAGCAGCGGAGCCGGCCCCGCTCACTGGGCCGAGGCCGAACACACAAACATGCCCTGATGCTGGGCTGTCACATCCCCTCACATCCTCTTCCTCGCCCTGCATTACTACTCTCCTCTCTCTCTCACACACACACACACACACACACACACACACAGAAACATCACTACGGTGTTAAGAAGCTCCCATGAGATCTTGGGATGCGCTCGCGGTGTGTGTCTCCCAGTAAGACGGTGAGTTATAGGAAGTGTCACTTGTCACCACTGGTTTCTCCCAGCCGCAGGATTCTGTAACCTCCCCGAGAGCGGGCGAGCGAAGGGGGGAGAGGGAGGGCCGGGTCGGGGCCGGTTCCACCCGGCAGGATGGATGGAGTTACTGTACTCACATCAGGACTTCTGGTGGCTTCTTTCCTCTTCTTAAAGCCGCAGGACTGAGAGTTTTTGCTGGAGTTTTGCTTTGGAGTTTGATGAAGCTGAGGCAGATGTTGGGCGTCCAGATGTTCACAATCGAGTCGTTTAGAAAGCCGTGGCTGGTCGGCCTGAGCGCCACGTGATGCAGAAATCAGACCAACAGTTTCTCCTGGTGCTTAACAGTTAACCGGTTACTAAATTCTCTGGTTTTATTCAAACATAAACGGCTGATTACAAACTTATTTTTGTTTCATTTCATTGTTTTATTTCATTATCTCCATAATAAATATGAATAGTTCATGTAACATGCAAAAGAAATAATGAATGAAAAACAGTTCAGTAGAACTTTGGACCAATCAAATTGTCTTTCAATGACTTATCAAGGAGACAGAAGCAACAGGAAGGAGCTGCTTATGAACTGAATATCTCCATTAATGGCAGGAAATCCATCAGTGTTGGCTTCCAGATTTATCTGCACTCACTGAACGACCTTCCTGCGTCCTGCAGATCCATCCCTGCTCCGGAAAACCGTCCTGCCATCCTGCAAGCTGCAGGACGGCAGGCCTGCTGTTTGGTAGCCGTTTTACCAGAACCACCAGAGCAAAGAAAGAAAACGTTGAAGCTGTTATTCATGCAGGTCCTGAATTAAAATAACGATGCTGAAAAATTCTTGATTAAACTTTCTGTGAGGAATTCTGACCTCCTGCAAACGGGCCGATCCTGGAACCTTTAAATCAGATTCATCAGCAGAACGTTTACAGCAGCAGAGAATGAGATCTAATCTGTAAGAAGTTTAATCTCCAGTCTGCTGGATGTTAAATAAACTCAATTTATGGAAATAAAAACCTCTAATTTTATTGAAACACATTTGAAACTGAGTTAAATTACCTGGTTGTCATAGAAACAAGTGAATCTGGTCGTTTCCAGTCTTCACCATAGTTCAGGATTAGGTTGACCTCTGACCTTGACCTCAGTCCCTTTGTGCTGCAGCCGACACGCCCATCGAGGAGTTCACGCCCACTCCGGCCTTCCCGGCGCTGCAGTACCTGGAGTCGGTGGATGAGGGCGGTGTGGCCTGGCAGGCGGGGCTCCGGACGGGCGACTTCCTCATCGAG